GGGGTAAAAATTAAAAAAAAAAAAAGATACTGTGGCTAATGTGGGCAAGAGCCCAGGAGGGTGATGGACAGTTAAGTCTGTGGCATGGTGAAGTTATCACAGACTTGGGACATAGGATGCCAGTGTGGCAGAGAGGCCTGAGATAACAAAGAACAGAGAGAGTGAGACCAGCAAAGTGCACCCTCAGGACAGACAGGAAGACAAGCAGGTGGCAGGAAGCCCAGAGAAGAAAGGGCTTCAGGAGGGCATGTGGCATATTTATCCATGTCACCTGCTCTGTGGGATGGAAGCACAAGGGGTTCTGAGAGAGAATGCCAGTTGCCCCCTCCAGTCATTCTAGAAGGCATGATTGCAGGGCCAAAGGAAGCCCATTTTCAGGTAACGGTTGCTGAGGGAGAGAGACAGTTTCTTCAGCACTGCAGACATTGGTGAGCTAGCTGCCCGTGCTCCTGGAGCTCATCTTCACTCAGGTTCCTGTAAGTAGCCATAGTTTAGGCCTGCCAAGGATCGGGAACTCTTTAAGAACGGGGGTCTCTGTAGGTCATTGGTGTAGATGTTGGAACATGGAGGATCCTTGTCTGCCGGGGGTACAGAGATGCACCCCACTTCTGAATGCTAGGCTTCCGTGCAAACCTGCTGATAAGTTTGAATGTCCTGGTTCTTTGTAGTATTCCAGGTATAGAGACCCAGGTGAGGAAGGGTCTGATAGACCTCTTCCCTCAGACCTCAGCTTGCTGTGGAGGAAACTAATCAGAGACGGGGGTGAGGAGGCAACGTTCTGGAGTCTCACAGCAAGCCCGGGAACCACGGGAGAACTGGAGGAACAGACAGGTGGGGGGGGGGGGGGGGGCAAGGGCAGATGTTAGCGAGCAAGTCTGGGTGTGCTCACTTATCTCTCTGGTCCTCAGTTTCTCCCCCCATAGAATGAGGACAGTCTCTGGTTCACACAAGGTTCTGAGGTGGCTGATGCCAAGCATAGGGGATATGAAGATGGGAAGGAGCCACTGGAGTGAAGAAACTTCCTCTGCCTCCTCTGCTGGGCACAACAAAGCAATATGTATGAGCATGCGTACAGCAAATCACCCTTGACCTAGTCATTCACTTCTTAGTCTTAGGTTCTGCTCACACGGGGCAGAAATAAGGAAGGTAAATGATGCCATTACATCATTGCAAAATACAGGAAGCAGCCTCAACACAGCCCACCGGAGATTAGCCAAGGGTGCAGTCGTGTCTCCACACCTGGAGTACTCCACAGCTCAGAAAAGAAAATCGGCCACAGGGACATCTACATCCAACACAGCCCAGAAGGAGATCCTGGGCAGAAAGCCTTGTGGATGGGCTAGCACGGTGGCTCAGTGGGGGGGACGCTTGCCCCCAAGCCTAACAACCTGTGTTTGGTTCCCAGGACCCACCTGGTGGAAGGAGGGAACCAACTCCTGCAGTTGTCCTCTGACCTCCACAGACATGCTATGGCACGCACATGTGTGTGCCAACCCTAGCACCAGGAAGGAAAAGTACATGGAAGCCGTATGGTATGGAGTCTGCTTGTACAGGGTTGATCGCGGTCTGTGAATGGAATTGAAGGCTGGGGCTAAAACTCAGTTGGCAGTGTGCTTCCCTAGTGTGCATAAGGCCTTGGGCATGACCTCCAGCGTGTATAAACTGGATAGGATAGTGGTGCATGCCTGTAAACCCAGCACTTTCCAGGTGGAAGAGGCAGATCAGGAGTTCAAGGCAGCTTTAATACATGGAGGGGCAAGTGTCCCCCCCACTGAGCCACCGTGCTAGCCCATCCACAAGCCTTTCCACCCAGGATCTCCTTCTGGGCTGTGTTAGATGTAGATGTCCCTGTGGCCGATTTTCTTTTCTGAGCTGTGGAGTACTCCAGGTGTGGAAACACGACTGCACCCTTGGCTAATCTCCGGTGGGCTGTGTTGAGGCTGCTTCCTGTATTTTGCAATGATGTAATGGCATCATTTACCTTCCTTATTTCTGCCCCGTGTGGGATATATGAGACCTATCCTAAAATAATAAAATAAACACATGGAAAGTCATGAAACCTGCCCTTGGGGACAGCAGAATATACTCAGGTCTAGGGTAGAGGTGACATGCTCAAGGCCCAGGCATACCACTTACAATTCCCTGCTACAAGTGGAATAATACCAGTGTAGACCCATGGAATTGCCAGTGTCTCGTCCTCCATGCCTGCATTTCTGTTTCCAGTTAGAGCTGCTGTCTACAGAGCAAACGCTCTAGTGCTTAGCCAGATCCCAGCCCCTCTATAGCTTTGACATGGCAAAGATAAAGGAACTTGGGCTGGAGAGACGGCTCAGCAGTCAAGAGCACAGCCTGCTCTTCCAGAGGACCTGGGTTCAATTCCCAGCACCCACATGACAGCTCACAACCAACCGCCTATAATTCCAGTTCCAGGGGACCTGCCCACCCCCTGCCCCTTTCTGCCCTCTGCTGGCACTATACAAAGGTGCCGCACAGACACAAATACAGGCAAAGCACCCACACAAAATAAAAAGGAAGTTAAAAGATAAAGGAAATTAGGTTGAGCATAGGCATATAACTGTATTCCTTGAACCTTGGATGCATTTACAGCGATTGGGAAGCTGAGGCAGGAGAATTAGAGTTAGAGGCAAGCCTGGACTACAAAAGGAGTTTTAGGCCACTGTAGGCTATCTAGTGAGAACCTATCATAAACAACAAAACAAAGCAAACAAAAATCCAGTCAACCAAACAAGGAAAACAATGAGAGGAAAGGAAATTCACTAAGGCAGGAACGTAGACGAACGAGCAGGGCTTTCTTCTTCGCTCCACAGAAAATAGCAGCCTTTCCTTGGGCTGCTGTACAACTCCAGTGTCACTTCTTACAGATCTGACAGTTAAAAAAAATACCACCCCCACCCCAGGACAGAGCTAAGTACACAAATGCTTTTACTTTAATATTATATTTTTATAGTGTATCGCTGGCCATCTTGGAACATCTGTAGAACAGGCTGTTCTCAAACTGAGAGACCAGCCTGCCTCTGCCTCCCGAGTGCTAGGACTAAAGGCGCGTGCCAACACCACCTAGCTGAAGCTCTGCCTCTTAATCACACTTCTAGAGGCACAAAGTGCTTTTGTGATTGGCAGAGAGAAGATTTAAAACAACAACAACAACAACAACAACAAAAAACTGGCTCACAAGGGCTGTCAGACCAGTGAGCAGATAGAGGACGGATCTTGAGTTCAAGTCCTCCTGGGTTACAGACTGAGACCCCATAGAAAAAGCAGCGAGACTGAGAAGTAGGCTAAGAATGGGTGAGGCTGCTCACTGAAATAAACCTGTGGACAAAACCAGGCAAAGTGGCAAAATCCTGTAATCCCAGCACCTGGGAGGTGGAGGCAGAAAGACCAGAGTTTCAAATCATCCTGGGCTACACAGGCAGTTTGAGGAAGGCCTGGGTTACACCAGACCTGTCTCAAAACAACAAACCAAATCCTTGGAGGACTGGGCTGTGGCAGGTGACTTGTCCAGCTTGCACGAGGTGCTGGATTAGATCCCAGCAGGATGTAAAACCAGGTGTGGCTCTACAGGTCTGTCATCCAGCACTGTAATCTCAGCACTTGGAAAGTGGAGGCAGGAGGATTGAGTTCAGTCATCTTTTGCTGCATAAGAGAATTTGAGACTAGCCTGGCCCAGCTATGGTGTCTCAAGTCCACCTGGGTTATTGATTGAACCCCACAGAAAAACAGAGAGGGAAAGTGGGCCCAAAATGAGCGAAGCTGTTTGCTGAAATACACACTTGACCACCTTGATCCCAGCACTCAGGAGGCCAACACAAGCAGATCTCTGTGTGTTTGAGTCCAGCAGCATGTTCAGAGAGCCGAAGTCCAGACTCCTCCCCAAACATCTCTTGTTTATTTAACAAGAGACAATCCCTGATAAATATTTAAGCCCAATGATGGAAAGCGGGAGATATTAAAAACCCATCGTCGATCCAAGGGCCGCCTTTTCTCCAGTGCCTTCCACAAATGGAGGGGCCTCTTCACCCACAATTAGGTGAGATTACTGTGTATCCCCCCTCCCCTCCATTGCTCTCAATTCAACTGTCCATTGCCAGGGAGTTTACAAAGTGCTAATCCGATCATTCTCCTCTCCCTAAAGCCATTTTAATTTTAGCTAGCCAAATTTACTCCTTTTTTTTTTTGGTATATTTGCAAGTCTGTGAACTACATTGTGTGCCTGCGTGTCTGGTGCTTTTGGAGGCCAGAAGTAGGCGTGTCCCCAGCTGTGAGCCGCAGTGTGGGTCCTGGGACTTGAACCGTGACTCAACTTGAACCTTGGAACTATGGAAGAGCAGCCAGTGCTCTTAACCACTCCAGCCCTAATGCACATTCTATACAGGCTCCAAGGCCCTGCAGAACGGAGCATCCAGGGAGCAACTCGGTCCAACCAAATAGAGGCTTTGAATCACTGTACCCTTTCTAGCTCGGAAATTCTCCTGCACCCCGCAGCCCTCGGTAAGGGTGCCATTCCTCTAGGAAGTCTTCCTAGGTTTCTCAGAGTGCGTTAGGGGCCTCGGGAGAGGCGTCAGATTCTTGACCGCAAAGGCCACCTCCCCACTGCGCCTGAGCCGGGACATTTCGGTGCTGGGAACTGATGACCACCGGCGTCTGCCAGCTCTGTAATTCTATCCCAGCTGGCCTGGAGCAGGGACTGAGGGCTGCTGGCTCGGGGTGGCTATTTTGGGATATGTGGCAAAGTCCTTAAGACCTGCGGCTCAGAACTTTGGAGGTGCGCAGTCCCTTTAAGGTCCCCTTCTACGCACCCCACCCCACCCTTCCCGGCAGTGCGCCCTTAGAAGCATGGCGAAAGCCGCGCAGTGGCCCGCGATCTGCCCCTCACAAAGATGGCCGCGATAGGGCGCCGATTCTCATTGGTCCGGGGGGTCTTGAGAGACTCTGATTGGTGGATCTCAGAGGCGCGTCAGGGCGGGGCGGGGCGGGGCGAAGCGGGGCGGCACCAGCCCAGGCCTAGCAGGCAGTGGCATCAGGACTATGTCGTGGGCGCGGAGCCACCTGCGCTCGGCTCTGTCCCTGGCAGCTGTTTCTGCGCGTGGTGCAACGGCCGAGGGCGCGGCGCGGCGGTGGTTGAGCGCGTGGCCCGCGCCGCAGGAGCCCGGCATGGAGTACCAGGTTTCTGACCCGCGGTGGGACAAATGGTCGCGCACTGACACGTGGGCTAGACCGCAGCCGCGTTCCGCGCTCCACCAGCTGCTGGGGCAGCGGATCCTGAAGTTGCGGGGTTAGGGAGGCGGTGACATCCCGGAGTCCAGGGGAGGTGACAGGGAACCAGAAAGTTGGGGTCAGGCGGCCGGATCTGGGAATTCCTAGGGTGTGCGTTGCAGAGGGAAGGGGCGCTGGTGATTACACCAGGTCGCCCAGCGTCTGAATTGAGTTTCAGAAGTTGCAGTGACCCGAGAGTGCACTGGCAGTGCGGGATGAGGGGGAAGGGAGGAGTCTGGAGTCCAGAGTGGAAATACCCGGGAGGAGCTGGGGTCTCCAGGACTCGAAGGCTGGCAATCCAGGTGTTCAGAATTGGCTGACGGACAGGCAGGAAAAGAGGCGATAAAGAGACCGAGAATCTGGAAAACAGAAATGTCTGTAGATTGCTGTGCCAGGGTTCGGTTGTCAGTGACCAGAACTTGATGTTAGCCAAGCAGGTGGCACCGGCTTGAGGGCAGTGAGGCTTCTAGCCAAGCCTTGAGGCTAAGGGCAGGTGACGTGGGTCTGATGCCTGAGGGGACTACCTGAGCACGGACTTCTCAGAATGTAGATATAGTTGAAACACACACACACGACCGGATTTAAATCCTCAAATACCTCTGATTTAGTTCTCTCCATTTATTTTCTGGCCCCACCCCCATCCGCCCCCTCCTGAGGCTGTACCATCTCTCCTGAGGCTGTGCCCACCTGTGGGTTCTGGCTGGCTGACCTGGGCACATCTTCCTTCCCTCTGTTCCTCCTCTTCAAGATCTAATTGCTTTCATCGTCTTGTCTTGGGGTTAGAATGTGGAACTCCAGAGCCTTAAGGGATTCCAGAATTCCAAGTCCCTAGATGCCTGTGGACCTTGTCCCAGCCCAATGGGTGCCCAGTGTAGTGGTCGAATGAATAAGGACAAAGGCCCAGGGGGTATGAGGGTCAAGGCTGAGGGCATAGAGGCTTGGGAAGGCAGCTCAGGAAATGAAGGTCTGTTAATCTTGCCAGCTTTACCTGGCACTCCCCAGGTGGGGCTCCCATCTTTGCCAGAACTGGAAATATGCCAGGGTTCTCTCCTCACCAAGTAAGTGTAGAGCAAGGTAGCAGGACTGGTATAACGGCCTATTACCCTGGCTTTGTCACTGGTGGGCTGAGCACCTCTATCCTTAAGGACCCTCACTGAACCAGGACTATGGTTGCCAGGATGCTGTACGTATGCTCAACACCCTGCAGACCAATGCCAGCTACCTGGAGCAGGTAAAGCGTCAACGGAGTGACCCTCAGGCGCAGCTGGAAGCCATGGAGGTGTACCTGTCACGGAGTGGGCTGCAGGTAAGGCAGTAGATCCTGTGAAACACCTCTACCCCATCTGCTGGGGAGCCCTGTGGCCGAGGCAGGGACCTTTCTGTCTGTTGTAGGTGGAGGACCTAAACCGCCTAAACATTATCCATGTCACTGGGACCAAAGGAAAGGTAAGAAAAGTAACCCAAGAGGAGTCCACGTGGGCTGGGGCCTGTCCACATTTATTAGCTGCTTTTCTACGTGCTGCTACCAAATAGCAACTTAGGGTGTCTTGTTAGGGCTACTATTGCTGTGATGAAACATCGTGACCAGAAGCAACCTGGGGAGGAAAGAGTTTATTTCACCCACAGTTCCATATAATAATAGTTCATCATCCAAAGCAGTCAGGGCAGGAACCTGGAGGCAGGAGCTGATGCAGAGGCCATGGAGGGGTGCTGCTCACTGGCTTGTTCTTCATGGCTTGCTCAGCCTGCTTTCTAGAGCATCCAGGACCACCAGCCCAGAGGTGGCACCACCCACCATGGGCTGGGCCCTCTCACATCAATCACTAATTAAGAAAACGCCCATAGGTTTGCCTACAGCCCGATCTAACGAAGGTGTTTTCTCAATTGAGGTCCCCTCCCAGATATCTAGCTTATGTGAAAGTGACATGAAACTGTCCAACATGTAAGGGAAGAAGTTTATTTGACTGTAAGTCCTGGGGGATATGGTCCATCATGGCATGAGATTGAGTTGTGTCCTTGGTCAGGAAGTAATGGATGCTGGTGTTCGGCTTGCCTCCGGCAACCCTGTCTAGAAGCTCCTCCACAGACCTGCCCAGAAACATGTCTCCCGGGTGGCTGTAGGTGCTGCCAAGTTTCCAATCAGTATTAACCATCACTTCACCCGACCCAACGCTTTCTAGGGCTCCACCTGTGCCTTCACTGAACGCATCCTGCGGAATTACGGCCTGAAGACAGGCTTCTTTAGGTACTGTACTCTGTGGGGGGATGTGTCTCTTGGGCGGGGGCTGGGGGTGGTATCTGCCTCTTAGCTCTGTGGAGGGCTGTGGTACCAGAGCCAAGGCCAGCCTGTACGTCTCTCTGCCAGTATTTATCTATTGAGCAAACGTTAAATCCACATTGCCCATATTGGCCCACTAATAGCAGCCATCGGATTTCATAAGTAAAGGAAATGGAAGGACAGTGATGGTATCTTAAGGGATGACCTAAGTACCTGGCTGGAACAGTCAGATCTCTTTTATTAATTTAAATTCCAAATGTAATTTTTTCTTTTCTTTTTTTTTTTTTCCTTGTTTTTTTTTTTTCGAGACAGGGTTTCTCTGTGTAGTTTTGGTGCCTGTCCTGGATCTCGCTCTGTAGACCAGGCTGGCCTCGAACTCACAGAGATCCGCCTGCCTCTGCCTCTGCCTCCCGAGTGCTGGGATCAAAGGCGTGCACCACCACCATCTGACTGCTTTTGCTTTTTTAGTTTTTTAATTAGTATTTTTATTTTATGTGTATAGGTATTTTGCCTGCGGGTATGGGCTTCACATGTGTGCCTGATAGAACAGGAGTTACAGAGGGTTCTGAGCCACATGTGGGTGCTGGGAATCGAACCCAGGTTTTCTGCAAGAGCAGCCAGTGCTTTTAACTGCTGATCTATCACTCCAGTCCCTATTTCGGTTTTTGAGGCAGGGCATTACTCTAGCCCAGGCTAACCTGGAACTCACTCTGTGCCCCAGGCTGGCCTAGAGCTCCTGAGGTCCTTCCTACCTCAGTCCTGCTGGATTTACAGGCGTGAGCCACCACACCCAGCTTGTTTTTGCTTGCTTTTTTATTTTTTAATTTTTGTTTTGAGGCAGGGCGGGGTTGTGGGGGGGGGGGTCTCCCTGTGTAGCTTTGGCTGGCTGTCTTGGAACTCTCCATATAGATTGTTAGGCTGGCCTCAAACTCACAGAGACCCACCTGCCTCTGTCTCTTGAGTGCTGAGATTAAAGGCGTGTGCCACTTTTCACCCAGCTTCCAATATGATTTATGTGTATGTATGGGTGCACAAGCATACTATTTATTTTAGTGTGTGTGTGTGTGGCGGGGGTGGGTGTGTGGGGGTGGGTGTTTCGAGGCTGGGTCTCTCACTGAACCTGAGCCTGGAGCTCCTGGAATCAGCTGGAGGAGCCCCAAGGATCCTCTAATCTCTGCCTCCCTAGCAGTGAGGCTCTATCAGCTTTTTTGCGGGGAGTGTGGGAATTCTGGGATCTGAACTCAGATCCTCATGGCAAGCACATTACTGACTGAGCCCTCTCCAAGGCTCTCCAGCTACAGTCTGTAAGTAGTACAAAAATGTTTGTCGGTTAAGATGTCTTTGCAGTAAGGAACAGGAAGAGATAAGGGCTGTTTATGGCCCTTGCTAAATCTCCACAGGGGGGCAGTAGAGTTCTGCAGCCTTAGCTGCAGCTTTCCTCTGGAGGCAGCGCCCCCTTGTGGTGGCACAGACATCCAGATCTGGAGGTAGAACCTGTGTCCCCTGCTTCATGAGTGTCTTGGCCTGTCTCCTTAAATGAACGACATTTTGGAGGAATGAATCTGATGGTGCTCCTTGGGGTTTGTTCCTTGAGGGAGGAGCATATCCAGCCTTTGCTTTCTTCTACTCTGTCAGCTCCGTCAGGCCACTCCAGACGCAGCTGAGACCAGTTGGCTACAGCCATTTCAGGTCAGCATGCTTCACCTAAACTGGTGTTTGTTCAAAATAAAGAAACGGAAGCTGGCTGGGTGTGGTGGCGCTCGCCTTTAATCCCAGCAGAGGCAGGTGGATCTCAGAGTTCTCAGAAAAAGAAAGGAAGGAAGGAAGGAAAGAAGGAAGGAAAGACATGGAGATGACTTGGTGTGGGAGGGTCTTTGAGGAGTCACCAGCAGACACGTGTCACTTACCAAGACTGGAGAAATGTGTCTTTAGGAGACTTGTGATCGTGGCACACTAACATTAAGTGGCTACTGCATCGATAGGTGATGTAATCGTAAAGGACAGTATATGTCTGTCACTGGCCAAAGGTTGTGAAGCAATTTATGACTATATAAGGCAACTTTCTGTCTTCTAGAATAGTCTTTTGGGAACTGAGTGTGGTGGCACATGCCTGTGAAATGCGTCACTTGGGAGATAGAGGCAGGAGGATCAGGAATTTAGGGTCATCCTTAGCTAGTTGGGGACCAGCCTTGGCTATATGAGACCCTACCTTAAAAAAGAAAAAAAAAAAAGCTAAATAAAAAGAATAATACTTTTTTTAAAAGCTTGAGAAAATTTAATTACTTTTCTATTACCTTTTTTTGTTTGTTTGTTTGTTTGTTTTTGTTTTTTTTCAAGACAGGGTTTTCTCTGTGTAGTTTTGGTTCCTGTCCTGGATCTTGCTCTGTAGACCAGGCTGGCTTCGAACTCACAGATCCGTCTGGCTCTGCCTCCCAAGTGCTGGGATTAAAGGTGTGCACCACCACCGGCCAGCTGTATTACCTTTATTCATCTTCTTACTGTATATGTGCTTGTATGTGTGCATATGCCTCATGGAGCATGAGTAGAGGTCGGAGGGCAAGTTTTAGGAGGAGTCTCTCCTTTGCCATGTGAGTTCTTGGCATGGAGCTCAGATATTAAGCTTGGCAGCAAGTGCCCTTACCTCTGGCACCAGTAATAATTTATAAAACCTCTAGCCACTGACTTGGGCCCATGAGGCCTTCTAGCCCAGCATGTGGATGGGGCAGGGGAATGGCTCTGATGGTTCCTCCCTCTGGATTTATTACTTTGAGACTGAAAGGCAGGTGGATGTTGTAGGCACATGTTAGCAGAGTCACTGATCTGTGTGATGGGGAAGCATGGGGCTTTGGGGGCCCAGAGAAGACACTAGACGGTTCTGGGGACAAGGCCAGCTCCCTCCTTTCTGGAGGGGTGTGTCTTAGTTGAGAGTGGTACCCGTAAGTGGGATGAACTCGCTGATGGAGAGGGAGGGCGGTGCGGAAGTGTGGGGCTAGAGACTGAAGTAGTTCTGAGATGCTGGGCCTCTGTAAGGGCTGGGAGGCCCTAGTTAGGAGCTCTTGACTTCATAGAGCCCTGCGAACTGGGGAGGGACACAGTTGCATGTTTCTGAAAGAAGTCTGACTAGGGTGAGGAAGGCCCTGAGGCTCGGGCAGGAGTCCCGATGACCCCAGGTCTCTCGGCAGCTCTCCCCACCTGGTGCAGGTGCGTGAACGGATTCGCATCAATGGGAAGCCCATCAGTCCGGAACTTTTTACCAAACACTTCTGGCGCCTCTATCACCAGCTGGAGGAGTTCAAGGTGCTGGGGCTAGAGGGCTGCGACGGGCCCATCTCCCCAGAGTGGGGGCTGTGGGACTGTGGGACTGTGGAGGGCTGTGCGGGCCCATCTCCCCAGAGTGGGGGCTGTGGGACTGTGGAGGGCTGTGTGGGCCCATCTCCCCAGAGTGGGGGCTGTGGGACTGTGGAGGGCTGTGCGGGCCCATCTCCCCAGAGTGGGGGCTGTGGGACTGTGGAGGGCTGTGCGGGCCCATCTCCCCAGAGTGGGGGCTGTGGGACTGTGGGACTGTGGAGGGCTGTGCGGGCCCATCTCCCCAGAGTGGGGGCTGTGGGACTGTGGGACTGTGGAGGGCTGTGCGGGCCCATCTCCCCAGAGTGGGGGCTGTGGGACTATGGCCTCTGACTTGTTCCTTTGTGCAGGATGACAGCCACATTTCTATGCCTGCTTACTTCCGCTTCCTCACACTCATGGCCTTCCATGTCTTCCTCCAAGAGAAGGTGTGTGTCTTTCTTAGACCCTGTATCTGAGTCCTTGGGGACCGGAATATAGTAAAGGGAGCTTCCTGCTCCCACATGGCATCTGGGTATTTCTCCTGCCATGCTGTCTGGTCTTCCGCAGGTGGACCTGGCTGTGGTAGAAGTGGGCATTGGCGGGGCTTATGACTGCACCAACATCATCAGGTGAGGCAGCCCTGGGAGGTGGGTGGCCAGCCAGAAGCCTGTGCCTGGTGGCTCAGTATTAGGGGATCAGGACCTTCTTGTCTCTTTCAGAAAGCCATTGGTGTGTGGAGTGTCCTCTCTTGGTATTGACCACACCAGCCTGCTAGGAGATACGGTGGAGAAAATAGCCTGGCAGAAAGGGGGCATCTTTAAGGTAACATGGCAGGAGAGGTTCGTGGGAGCCCAGGGTCTATCCCTTAACACTCAGGAGAGAATGACTGGGCGGAACCGTTAGTGTTCTGACTCAGGACCAAGTCCTAGCCATCTGCACAGTCTGGCTTCCCACTGCTCTCCCCATGTGACTTGAAGCCCTGTATGGCCTCGGTTGAAGTTAGACCCAGTTCCAGGTCTGTGGGGCCACTGGCCGCCGACGGAGGACCCGAGCAGCCCTTGTTACCTGTGGTCTGTTTGCAGCCTGGTGTTCCCGCCTTTACTGTGCTACAGCCAGAAGGTCCCCTGGCCGTGCTGAGGGATCGAGCCCAGCAGACCTCAGTGAGTGAGTGGGTGGTCTGGTGGCAGGGTGGAGGTGCGTGCTGACCTGGCGGACACTGTCTCCTGTTAGGCTTCGGGTTTCTCATGTGCAGTGTGTGTGTGTGTGTGTGTGTGTGTGTGTGTGTGTGTGTGTGTGTGTGTGTGTTGGAGGGGGTGCTGTTTATGCTCCAGAACACTTGTGTTTCTGGGAGCAGTCTTGGTAGGCCCTGATGGTTGGGGTGCTCACAGGGTTTGTGACACAGTGAAGTCGTGGTGGGTCTACTGACCAGCTGTTGCCCTCCTTGCCCACAGTGTCCTCTGTACCTGTGTCCACCGTTAGAAGTCCTGGAAGAGGGTGGGCTGCCGCTGACCCTGGGCCTGGAGGGAGAGCACCAGCGGTCCAATGCAGCCTTAGCCTTGCAGCTGGCCCATAGTTGGCTGGAGCAGCAGGGCCACCAGGGTAGGTGGGCCAGTGTGGGCGGGCAGGTGGGCGGTGCATGGAGCCTGCCTTGGAGGGGTCTGAACACAGACTCCCGCCCCACAGATGTCCGGGAGCTGAAGGTGTCCAGGCCAGGCACACGGGGGCAGCTGCCTCTGGCCCCTGTGTTCCATCCCACCTCTCACATGAGACATGGTGAGTTGGAGCTTCCTGCCCAGCCAAGACCACCACACCTCTTGTTCCCTAAGATGTATTTAGCCCCCTGCTGCATCTTTGTGACCTTCGAGATGCATCTTTTGGTTTTCTGTTTGGGGGTTGGGGCAATTCTAGATCGTTCCTGAGGGTGAACATTCCTCTCGGCCCTAGAGTTCACAAATCTTTGGAGCCTCAGTTTCCCTATCTGCCAAATGAGATAACGAGAGCACCCACCGCCAAGAGCTGTTTTGATGGTTCATGATGTGACCTCACTCAGATGCTGAGCCTAGAGCCTGGAAGACTCTAGTAGCTGCTGTCTGTCCTTAGGCTGTGAGGCTGCCTCTCCTCCCATCCCTCTACAACCGCCTTTCCCTACAGTAGGTGCTCACACTGTTAAACCCTTTAGAATAGTTCCAGTGTGCCAGGGTCGCAGTCAGGGACCCCCCTGGAGCAGATCTTAGGTCACACTCTAACCCCAGCCCTCACCTGTGTATGAGCTCCAAACTCTGGTGGCCGTCACGTGGGAATCATGTATGATTGTATGATACAGCCCCTTCTCAGGGTTGCCTGGAAGATTCCATAGCAAGGCAGCCCGTTCTGGGAACCCAGAGGCTAACATCAGTAATAGGCTCTTGGTGGATCCACCTGCAGGGCCAGAAGGCTGCAGGCCTTGTGGATCCCAGAGTCCTGTCTCACTTGCCTTTGCCAGGGCTTCGGGACACGGAATGGCCTGGTCGGACACAGGTGCTGCGGCGGGGACCTCTCACCTGGTACCTGGACGGCGCACACACCACCAGCAGTGTGCAGGCCTGCGTGCGCTGGTATTGCCAGTCATTACAGCGCAGTAAACGCCCCAATGGGTGAGCTCTCTTTCTGGGCTGGGCATGCGGGGGACGGGGTTCCAGGTCCTGGGTAATGACCCCATTGGGGCCGACTTCTGTAGCCATCAGTGGTTGTAACCTGCCCTGTAAAAAATGTCATACTGATAGTTCTTTACAGTGCTTTGGCTACATGTCACAAATTTTAAAATGTACTAAACGGTGTTTCTATAATAAAATCTATACCCTGGGGCTGGAGAGATGGTTCAGTTGTTAACAGCCCTGGCTGCTCTTGCAGAGAACCCAGGTTCAGTTCCCAGTTTCCATCCACATGGTGGCTCACAACCATCTGTAACTCCAATTCCAGGGGCCTAATGCCAGGCGTGAGGGTGGGCCAGTTCGAGGAAAGGGCTGGAATGGGCTGGGAGGGAGGCAGGAGGCATGCCCCACCCTTTTCTTCCTGGCACAGTGGGCCTGAAGTACACGTCTTGCTCTTCAACTCCACTGGTGACAGGGACTCTGCCGCTCTGCTGAAGCTGCTGCAGGTGAGGGACCTTCCTGGAGAGTGGGCGGCCTGCAGCTCCTGCTCTGGCCGTGTGGGCGCTGCAGGCCCGGATGTCCTCAGCTGTGAAATGGAGCCGTTCCCTGTGGTGTCTTTTTTTTTTGGTTTGGGTTTTCAAGACAGGGTTTCTCTGTGTAGTTCTGGCTGTCCCCTGTAGACCAGGCTGGTCTTGAACTCATAGAGATTTACCTGCCTCTGTCTCCCAAGTGCTGGGTTTAAAGGTGTGCACCACCATGCCTGGCTGTCTGTGACATCTCTGCTTGGGGAAACTGAGTCTGTTCTAAGCTGTCAGGGCCAAAAATGGCTCCTAGGATCATTTCCCATTTCAGAGCAGGTGCCTGAAGTGATTTACAGACAGAAACTAGCCCAGCCTGGGGTTGGGGCCTGTTCTCTAGCTAAACTACCTTAAGTAGGTACCCCCCAAATCTCCAGTACAGTACACGCGTGCCAGTACTTAGGACAATAGGCTGTGCAAGCTACAAGCCAGGAGGACACTAGTTCAGGGATGGGCATCGTCTCCAGAGGGGTGGGCCTGGGGGGTTGTTTGGAAGTCAGGTGGGGGGGGGGGACACCCTTTCAGAGCCCTGACACCGTGTCTCCCTTGGTCTCCCAGCCCTGCCAGTTTGACTACGCCGTCTTCTGCCCCAACCTGACAGAAGTGTCATCCACAGAGAACGCAGGTGAGAGGGGACAGGGCCCAAGGTAGACTGCTCAGGGAGGAATGGGAACTTCCAAACCACGCTAGAAGATAGCATTTCTAAAAAGATTCATTTTTATTGTATGTGTGTGTCTGAGTGCCTGGCTCCTGGGGAAGCCAGGAGAGGTCATTAGATCCCCTGGGACTGGAGTTACAGATGGTTGTGAGCCACCATGTGGGTACTGGGAACCGAACCCAGGTTTGCTGCAAGAGCAGCCAGGGCTCTTAACAACTGAACCATCTCTCCAGCCCCAGGGTATAGATTTTATTATAGAAACACCATTTAGTACATTTTAAAATTTGTGCCATGTAGCTGCAACACGGTAAAGGGATTATCAGGTCTAGCATTTTGTTTGGTTTTTTGAGACAGGGTTTCCCTGTGTAGCTTTTTGCCTTTCCTGGAACTCACTCTGTAGCCCAGGCTGGCCTCGAACTCACAGAGATGCGCCTGGCTCTGCTTCCCGAGTGCTGGGATTAAAGGCATGTGCCACCGCCGCCCGGCTTGAGGTCTAGCATTTTTTGAAGGGCAGGTTGCAGCCCACTAATGGTTACTGAGGTCAGCTTAGTGACTCTCAACTAGAAGTTACCGAATACAAGAGAATGGAAAATATCAGTGTGCGTTGCATGAAGGATGGGCAGTTACTACTGCCTGGTGAAGATACAGGTCTGGGCATGTGTGGATGAATGCAAGGACCTAGTTGCAATGTAAAGTGCATTTAAAAGTTTTTTTTTTTTTAAGATTTATTTATTTATTATGTATACAGTGTTCTGCCTGCATGTATGCCTGCAGGCCAGAAGAGGGCACCAGATCTCATTATGGAGATGGTTGGGAGCCACCATGTGGTTGCTGGGAATTGAACTCAGGACCTCTGGAAGAGCAGTCAGTGTTCTTAACCTCTGAGCCATCTCTCCAGCCCCTTAAAAGTTATTTTTAATTACACTTATTCACTTATTTAGTTGGGGTTGGGGCACATGAGTGGAGGTCAGAGGACAGCTTGGGAGTCTGTTCTCTCCTTCCGCCATGTGGGTCATGGGCTGTTGGGATTAGATGTGGGTTGCCAGGCTTGGCGGCAAGTCTTCACACTAAGCCGTCTCACTGGCTCCTAAAATGCTTTTTGTACTGTCCTGCAATTGTATCTAAAAAAACTTTAAAGGGGTGTGAGCATGCATATAGATGTCCAGGTCTCACATTGGACCATGTATGGAGGGCTCTGAGATCTGTATTTTTAACCAGCTTCCTGGGAAGTACTTATGCCCACCTGGTGAGGGACCCCAGCTGGACACTTTGTAAAGATGAGCATGGAGTTGTGGAGTTGGACTCCCAGGCTCTGGTTCTCATGCTAGCGAGCACTTTGCACTGGTCACAGTCCACCGTGCAGGCAGCCAGCAGAGTCTAGCGAAGTGCTGTTTACAAAGAGCCAGGTGCTAAGCAAGTGCTCACTGTGGGCCAGCCCCTTTCCCTCTCCCCTCCACTGACATGCCTTGTCCTGGACCCTACAGACCAGCAGAACTTCACAGTGACTCTGGACCAGGTGCTGCTCCGCTGCCTCCAACACCAACAGCACTGGAGCTGCCTGGCCGAGAAACAAGCCAGCCCTGACCTCTGGAGTAGCCCCAGCGCAGAGCCTGGCGGGCCGGGCTCCCTGCTGCTGGCCCTGCACCCACCTCACTCTGCTAGCACGAACTCCCTAGTTTTTAGCTGCATCTCCCATGCCTTACAGTGGATCAGCCAAGGCCGGGATCCCATCTTTCAACCCCCGAGCCCTCCAAGGAGCCTCCTCAGCCACCCCACAGCCAGCAGTGGGGCAAGCATTCTCCGTGAGGCTGCTGCAGTCCACGTACTGGTTACGGGGAGCCTGCACCTGGTGGGTGGAGTCCTAAAGCTGCTGGAGCCTTCCCTGTCCCAGTAGCCAAGGCCCCGGAATCAGAGCCGGGAACTTCCACACCTGCCTGCTTCTCCACAGACGGATACTCAGTGCCTTTCGATTTCTGCTTGCAGATTCTTTTTGAGACTGGCCCAGGGTCCTGGGCTCTTGGTAGAGTGTAGGGATGTGAGAAGCGCTGCACCGTGGCCTCTCCTTCCTCTGGCATAGACAGCAGGGGGCTTCCCAGAGCCCCTACCATTGCTGTAGGCTTTCAGTCTGGCCGGTTCCCTGCTCACCCTGCTGCCTCCTGGCTCAGGCCCAGCTCATGTGCAAACTGCCTGACCAGCCTATAGACCTGCCTGAGGCTAGGCCAGAGACTTCCTCTTCCCTCCTGGTGCCTTCTGGGAAGAGAGAGGGCCTTTGCCTGGGCATTTGGGGACTGTGAGTTGCTAGAACTAACTGAAGCTTTTAAACCCTTTCTTTTTTTTATTTTTTGTAAATAAATGACAAACTTTTGATTGACTCTTAACCTCTACCTCCCAGCCCCCTCATCAGACTTTTGGGGGTTTGGGGTTGGAGCTATTGGAGTATAGGAGCTGGAGGGGTAAAGACAGCTCTGGCTGTATGGCCTAGGAGCATCTTCTAGCATGCTCTCCTCAGAGCATAAGGTGGCCTGTGTCACGAAAAGACTGGACCGATGTCTGTCTGCCACACACCAAGACACTGCTTTGAGACCTCCTCGCCCACCCTGTGTTCAGTCTGTATGCCCATCTTACAGATGAGGGGGAGTGGCTGGCTTCCAGGAGCCATGGAGCTGTTCACAGGCCCATTGGGGAAAAGAGACATGTTCAGGATTAGAACTCAGAGCTTTGGGGTGGGGCGGGGGGAGCTGTGTCCCAAACCCCAGAGACTGCAGACAGGGCTTAGGGTTGGGCCACCAATGAGGGAGCAGCAGAGGGGACTGGCTTCCTCTGAACATGTGCTCTGGCCATCTGCTGCCAGGCCAGCCCAAGGGGTGTGCCGGCCTGTTCTGTGTCATAATGGCCCTTCCCCTTTTCCCAGTACAACCCAAAGGGGCACTGGTTTCATGTCTAATTTATTGGCGAATTTACAGGGCTTGGCCCAGGACTGGCAGCCTGGCCACTCCTCCTGCTTCCCACCCAGTGGATGGGAGGAGGTCTCTGGGGCATTTCTGGGAGGGGCTGGGTTCCCCCACCCTTCTGTTCTTGCCGTCTTCTGAGATGCCCCTCCCTGAGCTGAGCACCCCTCAGCTTCTGTTTCCCCCACCAAAGTTGTGCCAGTTCAGGTGAGGAGGCCACTAGGGCCAGATGCAGGCGGCTCTGGGCTGGCATGTCCGGAGTTGTCACTTCCCACCCTGCCCAGTTCACCAGCGCAGGATCCAGCTGGAAGGCAGCTGCTTCAGCCTCTACAGCAGTGTGGATGTACAGGGCAGTGCTGTGTCCTCCTGTAGTTCCGGGCAGCCGTATCCCAGAGCCCCCGGTTTGGACAGTTCTGCGTAGTGGGGTGGGGAGACCCCGGGGTGTTCCAGGCTGGAGTCTCCACTGGCAACAAGCCTCTGCGAGGGAGGTGTGAGGGGTGGGTGCAGGGGACATGCTCCATCCTCTGCTGAGGGAAGGTGTTTGGCTCCTGGCACTGGTTCATGGCCAGTGGTTCCCAGCTTATGGCTGCTTGGTCTCTGCTGTGGGGCCAGGGCTGGCTGGGGGGCCCCCGAGGCTCCAGGCTGGGCACTAGGCCATGCTGCTGGTGGAGCAGGGGGTGCTCTGGGTGCTCCCGATGCTGTGGTTGGTACTGCTGCTCTCAGAGGAGGCCGGGGCAGCCACCGCCACCACGGGCTCCCGCTTGCTGGGGGCACCTGAGGGGCGTGGGCAGGGGTGGAGGTCAGGGCCCCAGCCAGGGCTCCCCACTTCCCCAGAGGCTTCGTTGAGCATGCCCCAGGGTGGTGTGGAGGGGCTCCGAGTGCTCACTGTAGGGGTGGGTTGGGGGCTTGGGATACTCACGTGTGTGAGAATAGATGTACCAGAGTGCAGCTGTGAGCAGGGCCCCAATGAGGAAGGCACCAAAGGTGATGCCCAGCACATAGGGCAGGATGAGGCCTTTGCCTGTGTGACCAAAGAAGGGCCAACGGTAGTCAGTACTGCTGCTGTACTCCGGCCTCGGGCCTGTCCCTACCCTGTCATGCTGGCCTGGGTCACAGGGATTATGCTAGTTTTCAGTCCAGCCAGTGACTCCTGAGTTCTCTGAACTTCATCTAGCACGTGGACTCAGTACAGTACTGAACTGAGGGCCCAGCCAGCCAGGCCTTTTGGGCCACCCTTCTGCCTCCGAAGGCTAGCAAAGAAATGTCTATGGTTGGTCTAATAGGTGCTATGACATGTAACAGATGAGCCCCTGCTCATCTCCGAGTCTTATGCGGCTTCCAATGGGCCAGAGCATCTTTTAAGACTAGGGCTGCTGCAGGCTTCACTCCTGCCACACGCCTGTCCTCTACATGGCCCTGGGCCCTTGGTCTCTGGCTTCCTGTCTATGCAGGGAGCTTAGGAACCCTGCATTCTTGATCCTGGCTGGGGGTGAGCACAAGCCATCCTAGCCTACATGGCATGCATCTGCCCCTAGCAACAGGTACTCCCTTGCTTGGTGGTGCCTGGGCCCAGGGGAACAAATAAAGAGACCAGAGGGTGCCAGGCTGAAGGGGCTTCCTCCACCCTTGGGGTGTCAAGGAACATAAGGCCTATACCACACCTAAGGTGCCTCAAGTTCCATCCAGGAGGTCGAGTCCTCCAGCAAGGTGTACCATGATTAAGGGGACAGAGATGAGGTGTGGGAGGGGCCTGAGGTCGGGAGAGCTGTGTCCCGTGGTACTCAGCAGCCTTCCTCTACTAAGATGCATCTTACTGTGAGCTCCTCTGGCTGCTGGGCCTCACCCTCCTCTCCTCTCAAGGGCTGCCCTGCCCCATCTTCCCACTAGTCTCTGGGCTCCATCCCTCCACTGTCTACTGTTCCCTACTCACCAGACAGGTCAGGGCTAACGATGTTCAGGCGCATGGAGACGGTCTTGTAGACTTCCTGAGGAGGGAGGAGAATGATGGATAAGTGGTCCAGCCTTCAGCTGGCAGCGTGTGGTTCTCCCTGGCTCCGCAGCTCTGACTTGCCACCATTCCCAAGCCTTGGCTGAGTCCTAGTCTGCCACTTTCTAGCTGGGAGCCTGTGGACAAGTCCTAGGGTGGCACGTGCTGTGTGAGAGCGGGACAGTCTGTGGCTACTGTGAATGGAGGCCTCTGATGCCCGTGTGTTTAGTAGGAGCTCTGCATCTGTTACCCCGTGCAAGCTGTGAGCCACAAGCCAGGCCATCCCAGAGGCCCATTTCACAGGCTGGAGGCTCGGGGCCTGGAAAGTGTGGCCCTCTGGTGGCCCCAGCTTCTGGAGGTCTTTGAGTCCTGGAACTCTGTGTGCAGATACCTGGAATGTTCTTGTGAGTGTGTCAGGACTGAGGGCCTGAGAATGGAGACTCACTGGACAGTAACATGCAGATACCAGCAAAGTAGAAAGGCAAGCTTTTCTGTTAGTCTTCCCTAAGCTCTCTGGTTCATTGAGATCAGCCATACTAGTGATCACCGCCTGTGTGGGTGGGTGGGATGCTGGAAGTGAGTGACTAGGTGGGAAGTACTGAGATGATGGCTGTATAAAGTTGGTGGGTGAGTAGATAGAAGGGTAGGTGGGTGGCTGATGGAGGGGAGGGATGCACGGGTGGGTGGTGGAGGGATGGGTAGGTAGGTAGGTGGATTGGTAGATTGGTGGATGAAAGTGTGGGTGGGTTGATGGATGGGTGAAGAGGTGGGTGGGTGAGTGGGTAGGTGGATGAATGGGTGTGTGGGTAGTTGGAAGGGTGAATGGATGGTTGGGTATGTGGGTGGGTATGTGGATGAATGGTCCAGCTCCTGGTGGATGCATGATGGACGGATGGTTAAATATGCAGAGGGTGAATGGATGGATAGTTGCAGTTATATGTAGTTCTCATGCCGCAGATCCTTAAGGCTGTAGGTAGCAGTGAAGCCCAGGCCTGGCTCTCGCTCTGCTGGCCGCCAGCTGTCTCAAGCCCCCTGCTCTGTCACCCCAGACCCATAAGCCACCTTGAAACTAGACCTGGGCCACGCCCACTCACCTGGGACGAGGTGCTGGGCTGCAGGGCTACATTGCAGCTGAGGGTGCCAGCTGTGGGTGTGGGCACCATGTAGACACGGAGGAGGAAGCTGAAGCGTGGGTCACCGTCAGGGCTCGGGGTCAGCAAGCTCACACAGCTGCCCTTGGCTGCTCGGCTCTGGATGAGTTCCACCATGTCCCCTTCAGGCCCCAAATCCAGATGGCAGCTATCTAGCTGGACGGTGACCTCAGAGGTCGATGGGGACATGCTCACCTGCACAGAGAAGTAAGGGGGATGTGACATGGGCAGATGTCCTTGTCCCTTCACTGACTTTTCTTGAAATGAGCTGGAAGGGGAGTCCCATCCTCTGTAGAAGACAAGCAGGGGCCCCATAGAGCAAAGAGGGAGGACAGTGTGACGTTCCTATTTGCAGTTCCCTTTCTGTCTGTCCCTTCCACACACCCAGGCTGGCCCTCACCGTCCTCTGGAAGGTGAAATTTCATCTTCCCTCTAACAGTGTTGGGAAGAAAAGCACACAGACTCGAGGAGCCGAGTGGGGTGCCCCATACCTGAACGAAGCCTTGCTGGCCCAGCTCGATGGTGCTGGATTCCTGGAGGAAGTGCGGGCTGAGGTAGAGGCCCAGCTGGAAGGAGAAGCTGACCATGTCGACGCACTGCACCTTTTTCTACAGGAGGGCGTGAGGGGAACAGTTTGGAAGGGGTGGCAGCAGGAATCGCCTGACCTTATCCTCACTTTTTAAATTAACTCATATTTATCAAGAACTCACTGGGCTAATGGGGAAAAAAATCCACACATCTCAGTGGCTGCTCCTAAGACCCCTGTGGGGAGAGATCTCTTCCCATGCCACAGTTTACAGCTAATGACCTTTGAGCCCAAGGGGGGGTCAAATGGTTTGCCCAAGGCCACAGAGCCACTGTGTGCCACACTCCTGGATTTAAGAAGCTGAAAGTGTAACCCTCAGCAGCACCACAGCCATTGTACAGAAGGGGAGGCCGAGGCACACTGGAAACACAGGGCTTGTTAGGATCCAGGACGGAGTTTCCTGAGGCCTGCTCCCTGTTAGGCCAGAAAGGGGCCCCAGCCCAAGCCGTACACCCTAGCCAGTCGAAGAGCATGGTAGGGCTGTCCATCTCACCCGAAGTGGTTGCGAGCCTGACGGGAAACTGACGATCACCTGTAAAGACAGAGGCAAGAAGCTGGTCAGAGCCAGAGAGGCCCCAGAGGAAGTCCCGCCTCCCACACCCGTGTTGGGGACTGGAGCTAAGGCTGAGCTAAGCAAGGTCCAAACTTTGGCTCCTCCTGACGGCTCCTCCATGCTCCCCCAGACATTCTCAGCCCTGAGGACCAGTGAGGTACCTGAAAAGGCATGCACACTGCTAGTCCCAGGAAGGCCTCACCTCGTTGCTGACCACATGCGCTGTCACTTTCATGCCACAGCTGGAGTAGGTGCTGCTCAAGACGAGGTGGTCATCACTGTCCTCGGCCTGGCAGCGGGGGTCCCAGAAAGTCAGGGCTGTGATGGTGCACTGCAGGGTCTGACTCAGGGGAGAAGGGCGCCGTTAGGAGGCCCTGCACTTCCTCAGTCCTCACTGCCACTTCCGAAACACTCTGAGAACTGCCCACTGGGGTTGGAGAGCTGGCTCAGGGCTTAAGAGCGCACTGGCTGTTCTTGCAGAGGACCTGGGTTCAGTTCCCAGCACCCACCCCAGGTCAGAATGCTCACAACTACCTGTAACTCCAGCTCTGATGGATGATTCCTTCTGACCTCCGTGGACACATGCACCCCCATGCAGATACCCACCCTACACATAATTTAAAAAGAAGCAAAACATGGGCTACAGAGATGGCTCAGCGGTTAAGAGCACTGGCTCCTTTTCAGAAGGACCCGGGTTCAAGTTCCAGCAACCACACAGAAGCTCACAACTGTCTGTAACTCCAAGATCTGACACCCTCACACAAACATACTTACAGGGAAAACACCAATGCACATAAAATAAAAATAATTTTTTTTAAAAAGAAGTAAAACAAACAAAAAAAAAGAAGTAAAACAAATCCTTATTTAAATGTCTTTGAGGGGACATGGATGATTAACAAAGCTCTGAGACTTAAGAAAGGCCAGGAAAAAACTGACCGTGGAGGATGGGCAGCTAGAAGGTCCTCTTTAGTTTTTGCATTTCTGAGAATTGAACCCAGGGGGTGTGTGTGTGTGTGTGTGTGTGTGTATGTGTGTGTGTGTGTGTGTGTGTGTATTTTGCCTGAATGTATGTCTATACACCACATATATGCAGTACATTCAGAGGCCAGCAGAGGACATTAGACCCTGTGGAACTGGAGTTACAGATGATTGTGAGCCACCGTATAGTGCTGGGAATCAAATCCAGGTCTTTTGAAAGAACAGCAAATGCTTTTAATTTCTGAGCCATCTCTCCAGCTCCATCTTAATTTAATTTTTTTTTTTTTTTTAATGTTCAAAGTTAAAAGAAGGGGCTGAAAAGCTCAGTGGCTAAGAGCACTAGCTACTAGAACCTGGGTTCAGTGCCTGGCACATACATGGCAGTTCATAACTATCTGTAACTCTGGTTCCAGGGGATCCAGCGTCCTCTTCTGGCCTCCATGGGCATTGCACACATGTGGTGCACAAACTTGCATGTAGGCAAAACACCCATATACATTTTATACCTGAAATTTTTGTTTAAAAAAAAATTAAAAGAAGCTGGGGCATGATTGTGTATGTCTTTAATCTTTTTGTTATTGTTGTTGTGGGTTTTGTTTGTTTATTTGGTTTTTGTTGTTGTTGTTCTTTTGTTTTTGAGATAGAGTTTCTTTGTATAGTCTTGACTGTCTTGGATCTTGCTCTGTAGACCAGGCTGGCTTCAAACTCACAAAGATTCAACTGCCTCTGCATCCTGAGTGCTGGGACTAAGGGCATTCACCACCACTACTCAGCAAAGGTTGTGTGTGCCCATTACCTTGGATTTTTTTGCGCGTGTGTGCGCGCGCGGGGGGGGGGGGGGGGGGGGGGGGGGGCATCTTTTATGTTATCCATCCCTGTCTCCCAGCCCTGGTAGCTGAAGACCAACCTAGGACCTTGTGCTTGCTAGGCAAGTGCTCTACCCCTAAGCTAAATCCTCAACCCTGTCTGTGAGTCTTTAATCTTAATCCTTAGAAGATAGAGGCAGGCAGATCTCTGTTGAGTTCAAAGCCAGTCTGGTCCACATATCGAGTTCCACACCAACACGGATTCAAAGTCAAATGCTGAATCCAAAAACAAAAGTATGTTAAACCCATTGTCTGGGGCTGAGGACACAGCTCAGCAGTAGAACACAGACTTGAGACCAGTTCATGGCCCCGGATGGGTTCTATCCCCAGCGCTGGGAGGTGGGTGGAGGTGGGGAGAAACTGAAGCCAAAATGCAGAAAACTAAACCAAAAGGGAGAATGACCGGGCACAGTGTCACATGCATATAATCCTAGCACACTGGAGTGAGGTCAGGAGGACCACAAGTTCAAGGTCATCCTCAGCTACAGGCTACACAGCAAGCTCAAGGCCAACCTTGCGTGGGATAACACCCTTGTACACTGGTTTAATAAAAGGCTGATTGGCCAGTAGCCAGGCAGGAAGTATAGGCGGGGTGGGCAGACGAGGAGAATTCTGGGAAGAGGAAGGCTGAGTCAGGAGTCACCAGCCAGACGCCGAGGAAACAAGATGACAAGGCAGAACTGAAAAAAGGTACCAAGCCATGTGGCTAAACATAGATAAGAATTATGGGTTAATTTAAGTGTAAGAGCTAGTCAGTAATAAGCCTGAGCTAATGGCCAAGCAGTTGTAAATAATATTAAGCCTCTGAATGATTATTTTATAAGCGGCTACAGGACTGTGAGTGAGAGAGATTTGTCTGGACTGTGCGGGGCCAGGTGGGACACTGGAAAACTTTCAGCTACACAACATGGGCTACACAAGACTATGCCTCAAAAGTAAATAAAAATAAAATTTTAAAAATCATACAGAAATCGAGACACACCAAGCCCCAGAAACAGTTGGGTTCTTATTATTCACAAGAAGCCAGGCCTTAGCTTGCTGCTAAGGAAGAATCTTAATTAGAACAATAACCAAACACCCACATTCCCCTCCCACACAGGCAGAGGGCTTTCCTTGTTCTTGATATCAGTGTGGAAGTAGAGAGAAGTGGTCAAAACTCTACTAAAGCACTCTGAAGAAGAGGGGCTGGAGAGATGGCTCAGTGGTTAAAAGCACTGGCTGCTCTTCCAGAGGTTCTGAGTTCAGTTCCCAGCAACCGTGTGGTGACAACCATCTCTAGTGGGATCTGATGCCCTCTTCTGGCATAAAGGTACATGCAGATAGGGCACTCATACATAAAATAAATAAATAAATCTTAAAACAACAACAACAAAACGCTCTGAAGATTTAATTGTATTCTGGAAACCTCCCCGAAAAACTGTCTGCACACAGCTTTACTCACTGGAACACCCTGAGCATGTTAACAACAGTGCAGAAGTGGATGCAGCCTACTGCTGAGCACCTGGGGAGGAATCCGGGACAGCAGGCCACTAGCATAGCTGATACCGTGGCATTAAGGACAGCGTTCAAAGTTGTAAAAAGATCAGAATCGTAGTGTGGAGGACGCCTGTTCTGGTTACCCCGTGCAAGAAACAGAGAAAAGTCTTCTAAGCAACCCACAGGACAAGGTGCAGGCAGGAGGATCAGAAGTTCAAGGTCACCCTCAGGTAGGTAGAGAGCTCAAGGCTAGCCTGGGCTGTATGAGACCCTGTCTAGGGAAAACAACAACAAAAAATACCAAAGAAAAGAGAGAGAGAGAGAGAGAGAGAGAGAGAGAGAGAGAGGGAGAGAGGGAGGGAGGAAGGAAGGAAGGAAGGAAGGAAGGAAGGAAGGAAGGAAGGAAGGAAGGATAGACAGCCCAATGTTGGCAGCTGTTGTCATCAGGAGGGAAAATGAAGATTTTCTCCATTCTATGCCAGCACTGGTGGCACAGACCTTGAATCCCAGCACCCAGAAGACAGGCAGGTGGGTCTCTGTGAGTTTGAGGCCGGCCTGGTCTACAGAGTGAGTTCCAAGCCAATCAGGAATACATAGTGAAAGTCATAGTCTGTGTGTGTGTGTGTGTGTGTGTGTGTGTACATATATTCCCCATTCTAGTTGTTATATTCTAAAAAGTATGCATTTAAATTAAAATTAAATTTAAATTTTATGCATGTAGTCTATATACTCTGTGTGTGTGTGTGTGTGTGTGTGTGTGTGTGTGTGTGTGTGTGTGTGGTCGGTCTCCCCAGTGTATGCACACCTGCACACAGGTGCACATGTGTGGAGGCCAGAGTTTGAAATCAGGCATCAGGCATCTTCCACTGTTGTGCTTCACTTATATTTTTTAAATTAAATTATTGAGTGTGTGACATCCAACTTGGTGGAATTGGTCCTTTCCACCTTTATGTGGGTTCCAGGGATTGAGCTCAGGTTAGGCTTGTGTGGCAAGTTTTATTCACTGCGCCATCTCATTGGATTCATCCATCTTAGTTTTTGAGACAGGATATACCACCCCCACCCTGTCAACAGAGTCTCACTATGTAGCCCTGACTGGCCTGGAACTCACCATGTAGACCAGGCTAGCCTTGAATTCACAGAGGTCTGCTTGCCTCTGCCTCCCAAGTGCTGGCATTAAAATCATGCACTATCGTGCCCGGCAAGACAGGGAGGGTCTCCTATTAACCCTGGACCTCACTGATTGGCTAGCCTGGCTGGTCAGAGTCTCTGGGACCCTCGTTTCTCTGCCCTCAGTGCTGAGGGCTGTTTTTGATATAGGTTCTGGGGATCCAAACCCAGCTTCTCATGCTTGCCCAGCAAACACGTTCTCGCTGAACATCTCCCCAGCCCCACACGTTGCTTTTTGTATTTATCGATCAGGCAAAGATCACATGGTAAAAATTTCTGTAACCACTTGGCTCTGCCAGCATTAAGATTATTAATGACTACCTAATATTACCGTTATTATTACTGGTGTTTTGAGAGTGGGGATCATGTAGCCTAGGCTATCATCAAATTCCCTCTGTAGCTGAGGATGTCCTTGAACCCCTGTTTTCCTTTATGGACCTTCTATGTAGCCTAGTCTGGTCTGGAATTCACCATCCCCCTGGCTCAGTCTCCTGGGTTCTGGGAATACACGTGCATGGCTCTGTGCCAGGCTCAAACTGCATTTCACAAATGAGAAAACTGAGACTTGCCGAGGGATGTGATTTGTCCTACTGCCTGGACTAGGCCCACAGAAGTCCGTGTCACCCCAAGAAGAAGGGGCAGGGATTCACTTACCTGCACATGTTTTTTACTGAGTGTCAGAGTCATGACGTCATTGCCACACTTTGGTTGGATCAGGGACATGAGTAGCCCAGGGTTGCAACTGTCCTTGGGAGGTGTGGTCAGAACTGGTGCAGGTGTGGTCTGTGGCACACTACCTGTGGGGCCAGAGGTGGGTGGAGTGGGTGATCACTGAGTGCTCACTAGGGGCTGAGTTCTTGGATGGCTAACTACCCATTGTGGCAGATGAGGCCAGTGAGGCTCAGAGAAGCTGGCCCAAGCTCAAAGAACAGTACGGCAAGTGACCCCAGGGGAGCCACAGAGAGGAGGGCGGAGTCACAGGGCTGGGGCTCACCACAGCTAGAGGCCCTCAGGGAGACTTCACTGGCCAGAGAGAGCTCTGCAAAGGAGGCTATAATGCTGGCGTTGAGCTTGTGGGCCTCCTCTATCAGGCCTTGGGGTGTGTCTGGGAGCACGAAGCCTTTGATGGTCTTTTCTGGAAAGATCTTGATGGAGTATTCACCTGTGGTCTGAAGGCAGAAATGGACAGCAGGGGCCCTCAGCTGTGGTGACTCCTTCCCTCCCCCCTGCCTTGCCACCCTGCCCCCTTCTTCCCCATTTTCCCTTTGTCCTCTAACCCAGCTCAGAGTTGTCTCTCCAGGAGTCTTCCTTGACCCAGCAGGCTAGGCTAAGGGGCTCTCTGGCCCCTCAGGAAAGCTTCCTGGAGGAAGCGGTCTCTAAGTTAACAATGGAAGGAAAACGGGTAGTGGACAGGGTAGAAAAGGTCGGGTGGGCCAGGCGATGGTGGCGCACGCCTCTAATCCCAGCACTCGGGAGGCAGAGGTAATTGGGTCTCTGTGAGTTTGAGTCTAACCTGGTCTACAGAGTTCCAGGACAGCCAAGGCTACCCAGAGAAACTTTGTCTTGAAAAACCAAAAAAGAAAAATAGAAAGTTGAGGGGGATGACCACGGTGTGCAAGGTCTTAGGCCGAGGGTGAGGTGCAAGGCTCACCCAGAACTGCATGTTGTGGTTGGCATTGATGGACCAGGACACATACGGAGGACCCTGCAGGATGAGAATGGCGTCGGGATCCCCAGATGCACAACTCAGCTCCACATTCACGGTCACTGTCCGGGGCCTGCAGCAGGTACAGAAAGGACTTGGGTCAGTGCAGACAGAGTGTAGGCTTGAGTGTGGGGACAGACCTGGTGTTCCGGTTTGAACGAGATGTCATGTAAAAGTCTCTGGTATTTGAATGCTTGGTCCGCAGTTGGTGATGCTGTTTGGGAAGGCGTAGGAGGTGGGCCTTGCTGGAGAACACAGGACACTAGGGGTGGGCTTTGTGTGAGCTCTCTGCCTCGTGTTTGTGGTTCCAGACGTGCGCTTTCGTCTGTCCGCTGCCTGTGACCTCCATTCTGCCGTCGTGAACTCTGACCCTTTAGAACCCTAAGCCCAAATAAACTCTCTACACATTGCCTTGGTCACAGTGTTTCCTCACAACAATAGGAAACCACTGCTACACCAGGAGGTTAGGAGCTGATTGAATGGGGAGGGCCCTGCCCCAGGAGGCCAGCACCCTTACCTGGCCGCGGAACCTGGCAGGACCCTCAGGATATACGCCTCCTTGTGGCGGTGACTGCTCTCATCTCCCAAGCTGCAGCCTTGGACTTGGGAGCCCTGAGGTTGCCATTCGAGTGTGAGGCCCATGTCATGATGAGCTTCTGCCAAGCAGTAGGGTGGTGCGCTTGAGGCTGTGGAGACGAGCATATCAGAGGGCCGTACCCCGCCTTCAGCTGGTGGGGACATTCAGGACAGAGCTTCACAGGTCGGGGACAGAGGACCTACCTGCTGAGTGCCCAGCCTTGGTTTTCTCGTTGTCAACACAGGATCAACATAGCGAGTGAAGCCCGTGGCACACGTCAAGGGCGCAGTCCCCTCACCCCCACCCCGCACATCAGCACATGCCAGGTGCCTTCCTTAATTGTTCTCCATATTATTCTTTTGAGTCCCAGTCTCTCGCTGAACCTGGAGCTCCCTGAGTCAGCTAGACTGACTGGCCAGCAAGCCCCTGGGATCCCCCTGTCTCTGCCTCCCCAGCTTTGGGGTTATGTGTGTGTATCACCAAGACAGCTTTACACATCGGTGCTCATGCTTGTGTGGCAATCGTTACACTCTGAGCCCTCTCCCCAGCACTCCTCCCTTAAAGACACGGTCTCATGTAGCCCAGGCTAGCCTTGAGATTGCTATGTTGCAGAGGATGACCTTGAATACCTTATTCTCCTGACTCCACCCCACTAGTGCTGGGATTCCAGGTCTGTGCCACCGTGATTTGTCTGTGTGTCGTTGGAGATGGAATTCAGGGCTTAATAATGCCAGGCAAGCCGGGCGGTGGTGGCGCACGCCTTTAATCCCAGCACTCGGGAGGCAGGGCCAGGCGGATCTCTGTGAGTTCGAGGTCAGCCTGGGCTACCAAGTGAGTCCCAGGAAAGGCGCAAAGCTACACAGAGAAACCCTGTCTCGAAAAAACAAAAAACAAAAAACAAAAAAAAAAAAAAAAATAATGCCAGGCAAATACTCTACCAACTGAGCCACATCTCTAGCACCTTGTGCTGGGATTTTCAAGGTGAAGAAAAAAATCTAGCTTTTCTCATCTGATACTTGATGAAGAAGCAGTCACTGGCTTCAAAGGGCATCATCCAGCCATGTGTGACTTTGGCAAATCACGTGCCACCATGGGCTGGGAGTACCCCAGTCCAGTTTGCTCAGTTTCTGCAACTGAACTTGCACCCAGAGGCAAGTAAGGAAGCTAACCTTGGCCCAGCCGGAGGACAACGCTTCTGGGGTTATCCAGTGCGGCCACCGAGGTGATGGCGCTCCTTTTGGCTGCCCAGTCAAGGATCTGCTTCCTGGAGGTAAGGAACGGCAATGGTGTGATGCTGACTTCTGGCTCATCTGGAAAGATGGTCTTGTTGGGGTCCTGTGGAGACACAGAGTGCTGAGTCACCTCTGACCACGCAGGTCAGAAACCAGTTTGGGGAGTCAGCTCAGTCAGTTGGCAGAAAAGAGGCCAGAACCAAGAATGCCGAGGCTCAGGGTCATCAGTTAGCCCAGAGGCCCCCAGTACCTCTTCTAGCATAGCCGTGTCTGTCCCATCTCTCTTCTGCACCGAGTGCTACACAGAGGCACACATTCATTCATCCATCTGTCCCAGCCTTACCCTCACCACGAGGCACTCATTCAAGCCTTACAGAATGTCATCGCGAAGCTACTCTGTATCCCTCTACACTCTGAGGTATGGGGGGGAAATCTCAGTGCCCTCCCACACAGTACTGGACACCTTGCAGGCGCTGTCTTTGTTCATTGCGGATCCTGTTGTACCAGCTGCTTCTTGACAGAGGCTGGGCGGTGGTGGTGCACGCCTTTAATCCCAGCACTCGGGAGGCAGAGCCAGGTGGATCTCTGTGAGTTCGAGGCCAGTCTGGTCTACAGACTGAGCTTCAGGACTGGCACCAAAACTACACAGACAACCCTGTCTCGAAAAAACCACCACCACCACCACCAACAACAAAAACCTAACACCTGCCACATGGTAGGTGCCCCTGATGCACGGAGAAGGGGGCAATGGAGGGGAAAAGATGAGAAGCATGAAAAATAATGAATGATTGAAAGACAAATGGGGGGTCTCACCATTCAGAAAATAGCTAGACATCATTATTGAAGAAATAGAAGTCAGGGGACCTTAAATAAGTAGCAAAAGGGGAGGGTCTGGAGAGATGGCTCAGTGGTTAAGAGCCCTCGACTGCTCTTCCACAGGACCCAGGTTCAATTCCCAGCACCCACATGGTGGCTCACAACCATCTGTAACTCCAGTCCTAGGGAATCCAACACTCTCCTGGCCTCCGCAGGCACAAGGCACACATGTGGTGCACAGACACACATGCACACGAAACACCCAGACACATACAATAATAAAGTTTAAAAAGAACCAAGACCAGTGCACTGGCTGTCTGGGAACAGGGAATCTGTGGGTCCAAAGCCTCACTGCTCCCTTAGGCTCCTCTGGGCTCTGGTGGGCTAAGAAAGGGAATGAAGACTTCCTGGAGGAGGTGACCCGAGGAGAGAAGGGTTAGAGGAAGCAGGGCCATTGACTCCAAGTAACCGCAGCCCCAGAAGGGCTTCAGGCTGGGTGTTAAGGAAGACTGTCTGACTGTGAGGGGGCAGTGGAGCACACTGCCTGCTCTGCAGGCATTAACCTCAGTAAAACAGGGTTAGTTTAGTGACAAAAGAGCATGGCCTTTGTCAGTCTCCTGGCTTACGGCCTGACACAAGACAGGCTTCTGGCCTGTGGGTTGTGATCTCTCGCTGCGAGTGTTCAAGTAAAAACTGGCAACCTTAGCGAAATGGGCCGGAGCAGCAACCCTCCAGCCAGAGCTCCTTAGTGTTTCAGTGATTGACTTGATCCCCCTACTCAGTGCTAAGGGGAAGGGCATTCTGGGAAGGGAAGCTGGGCCTTTGCGGTTGGACTTGGGAGGGCATTTTCCACGGTGCTTTTACCACGCTGGTCTATGTGTCCATCTGTGAGAGGGTCTTTACTTCTGTTCCCCACCTCCACCTCCTCTGGGCCTACCTTCTGGTCCTGTCGCTACCCCCCACCCTTCCTTTATGCTGTCCCAAATTCTGCATCCATCCACCTCCTGGTCCAGACTCCTGATCCAGGTCCCATTCATCCCTGAGTGTTCTACGTCAGGGCTGTGGAACTCAAGGTATGGCCATTTTGAATCATGGCCACCCGGACATCAGCCTCTGGCTCACAGAAAGGGACATCAGGCAGGGGTTTCCCACAACTGGCCTGGGGTTAGGGGTCACACACTCACGTAGGCCAGGTGCAATGGGATTTCCGGGGCCTGGAGCTTCACCAAGACAGTTTCGTTAGAAACAAGGACCAGGAACACCTCTCGGGTCCCAGTGCCATTTTGTTTGGATGCCTGAAGAGTCAGCTCCAGCTGTGACACCTGGGGAAGAGTCGGGGACACAGATATATCAGTCAGGTTTGCAGGGGGTGGGGTAGGGATGATTCACGTATGGTTGACAATCATTCCATGGGCCCTGCTTGGCTTGACCCGGCGGGTACCTGTGTGCACCTGGCCTCTCACATGCCTAGACAACATATGAGGGACTGTTGGGATGGTTCAGTGAGCGTGGCCACAAGTCTGACACCCTGAGTTCAATCCCCAGAACCCATATGGTGGAGGAACAGACCGGACTCCTGCAAGCCATCCACTGACTTCTACACCAGTGCTGTGGCACAAGCACGCACAAGCACACACAAGCACACACAAGCACACAGACACAATAAGTGAATACGTACAAATTAAACAACAACAACAAATGAGTAAGTTAAAAAACTGAGTGAATGAGAGAGATTGCTCCCAACCAGCCCAAGAAGAGGAAAAACTAATTAAGACGATTCTTAGCTTCATCCAACAGTCAGAACTGCAAGACCAGCCCTTCCTTTCCTCCTCCTCCTCCTCCTCCTGACAGGTTACTGCTTTGTGCCCAGGCTGGCCTTGAACTCTTTATTCTTCCTACCTATCTCAGTGTCCCAAGTGCTGGAATTTCAGGCACATGCCATCACATCACTCAGGATGATTTCTGTTGAGCACCTGCTGTAGACCAGGCCTATGAGCATCTAAAGAATGTCCTACGTACGGAGCAGTGACTCCTCTCTTTGGTTATCCCCAGGAGGCCACTCTGATGCCAGCTCACTTTGAGGCATTCCCAATTGTTCTAGAGCTGCAGATGTGGCTCAGTGACAGACCACACGCACAGGCCCTGGTTCCACCTACACGAGCCCACGTAAACAACCTAAGAAGTAGGTACCATTAAAATTCTCACAAATTAGGAAACAGTCACAGGTGAGGTCGCTTGCTCATGATTACATGGAAGGCTGGGAATGTCACCCCTCTCTGTCAAGAAAGAAAAGATGGCCAGATCAAAACTCTTCTGAGTGTCTTCTGAGCCCGTGGGTTGCGGTGGTGGGGGAGAGGAACAGGAGAGGAGGGCCCAGCTCAGTGCCTTAGAAGCCACATGGTGTCTGGGAGAACAAAGACAATGGAAATCCTCCCAGACACGGTCTCTGGCAGTTCCTGTGCCAGCCCCACAGCCGACTCCAAAGTCTCCTCCTCCATGAGAGAGGAGAGCACTGGTTTACAAGACATTAGTGGAAAGCTTTAGGGTCTGGCTTCTAATCATCTCCCTGTTGTTTCCCGACTGATGTCACAAAGCCAGAGACAAGCGTTTCAGCCCCTGGAAAAATCTGTTCAGAGATATTTCCGCTACTCAGTAAATGACCCTGTTAATCACTCGTGTTCAAGCTCACTCCTTAAAACAACAGGAGGAAAGAGCAAATAATACCACTTTATTTTCAATGTGTGATGAGTGGCTTTTGTCATGTGTTCTCTTTAGGTTATTATTCTTATTTTAATTCTTTAAAAAAAAGTCATTATCATTTTATTTTATGTGTATGTGTGTTTTGACTATTTGTATGTCTGTCCATCATGTGCATGCCTGGTGCCCGTGGAGGCCAGAAGAGGGCGTCAGATCCCTTGGAACTGGAGCTACAGGCAGTCATGATGGGGTATTGAACCTCGGTCCTCTGGAAGAGCAGCCAGTGCACTAACTACTGAGCCATCTTTCCAGGCCCCTTCTTTCCTTCTTATTAGTGTGTGTGGTGTATGTGCACATGCATGGACTCACTTGCCCGTGTGTGCACATGTAGAGGCCAGGGTTCAATTTGAGGTACATTTCTCTCCCATTTTCCCTTTTTGTTTTTCAGGCAGGATCTCTCTTGGCACTTGCAATTTTGGTTAGACTGGTTGGCCAGCAAGTCCTGGAGACTCAGCTGTCCCTACTCCCCAGCACTGGGGTTACAGGGAACACAGCCACATCTGGCTTTTGGGTGCTAGTGATCCAAACCTAGGCGCTCAGGCTTGTGTGGCTTGAGCTGTCTCCCAGCACGAGGTTAGCTTTTCCTCTTTAATTAGATTGATTTATTTACTTTATTTGTGTGTGTGTGTGTGTGCACATGTCAGAGGACACCTTTGTGCAGTCTATTTTCTCCTTCCACTATGTGGGACTTAGGGCTCAAACTCAGGTCATCAAGCTTGGTGGCAAATGCCTTTATCCACTGAGCCCTCCTGAGAGCCTCTAGGTTATTATTCTTACATAAGTATTCTCATAGTAGTTTATAGTAGAAAAAGGATACATTTCAAGCATGGGAATAATAATAAGAAGAATAAACAACCTGCAATCTGAGGAAGCAAGCCCAGTCTGCGCATGCTGCCATTTAGCTGTGTCCCCAGTCCATATTAATGTTTACTAATGGGTTTAACATTTGACTCTAACTGGGCAGTGGTGGTGCACGTCTCTAATCCCAGCACTTGGGAAGCAGAGGCACACAGATCTCAGTGAGTTCAAGGCCAGTCTGGTCTACAGAGCAAGTTCCAGGACAGCCAGGACTGTTACACAGAGAAACCCTGTCTCAAAAAACCAAAAAACAAACAAACAAACAAACAAAAACTCAACTCTATAAATACCTGGTTTTACTAATCTTTAAAAAAAAAATACGCATTTCAAGCTGGGTGTAGTGGCATATACCTTTGATCCCAGCACTCAGGAGGCAGAGGCAGGCAGATCTCTGTGACTTCAAAGGTCTACATAGTGAGTTCCAGGACAGCCAAGGACACTCTGTCTGCTGTCTATCTATCTATCTATCTATCTATCTATCTATCTATCTATCTATCTATCTACACATCTACACATTACACTTCAAACACTAAAATAAAATGCTGGAGGGGCTGGAGGGATGGCTCAGCAATTGAGAGTTTTTATGGCTTTTCCTGAGAACCTGAGTTTGGTCCTGAATACCCACATCAGGCAGCTTATAACTGACTGTAATCCACCCAACTCCAGGGGATCTGATACCTCAGGCCTCCATGGGTACCTGCACTCCTGTGCATACACCCACATACAGAGACATACATAATACATACACTATTTTTTTTTTTAGAGAGGGTCTCACTATGTAGTGTGGTGATATATTGTGTACCCTAATAAGTTTGCCTGAGGATCAGAGGACAGAGCCAGCCACTGGATTAGAAACAGAGTCAGGCAGTGGTGGCACACACCCTTAATCCTAGCAATTGAGATCTCATGCCTTTGCTTGGGAAGCACACACGCCTTTAATCCCAGGAAGTAATATGGCAGGGCAGAGAAAGGTATATAAGGCATGAGGAAACAGGAACTCCCTCTCTTTAGGCTGAGGATTTCATAGAGGTAAGAATAGTGGCTAGCTGTTCTGCTTCCCTGATCTTTCAGCTTTCACCCTGATATCTGGTTCTGGGTTTTTTATTAAAAGACCATCTAAGATTCGAACAATAATGTAATCCTAGCTGCTATGGACAGTAGACTAGGCTGGCCTTGAATTCACAGAGATCTACCCGCCTCTGCCTCCCATATGTATGTATGTATATATATGTTTGTGTATATGTGTGTGTGTGTGTGTGTGTGTGTGTGTGTGAAAAGAAAGAAAGAACAAAGGACATTTACTAGAGGGAAGCACATGACCCGCCCTGGTGTTGGTCCCGGCCTACTCGCCCTGACTGCTATTTACCGTTAGCTCAAACAACGCAGGGTAGTTACACAATTATGTGTCTATGTTTTCTTTTGAGACAGGGGCTCCCACTGAACCTGCACCTTGTCATTTCAGCTAGACCACACACTTTGAATCAGTGGATTTCATCTCAGTAAAACTGCATGCCTGTAATGTGCCACGGTCCACTTGAATTCATGCTACACTCTGTGCTGAACACACAGCATATGCAGCTGCCCAAAGTGGGCACAGGGATTCTCCCAGCCTACAGATGTAGAAGCGGAGGATCCAGGACAGAAGGCACTCAGAGAGACTGTGGAATCAATAGCCTCAGGCACATCAGCCTATGTGTGAGTGGAGTCCACAGCCCTTGACCACCCAGCAGCAACCCAAGAGTGTCCTTTTCTGTCCTCTTCTACCCCATCCAGCCCCATCCACGCTCCTCTGGAGGGGAGATTTCAAGATACACACAGAGCAAACAGATGGACCAATAGTATGGCAGACTATACCAAGAGACATGTGCATACTATGCCATCCCTGGGAGATGCCTGAGGGCCACAGCAGCTGGAAAGTGCCCTGGGCATCAACCCTGCAGCTGCTTGATGATAGCCCTCAGTGCCTCCGTTTTCTCATCTGTGAAATGGGAGCAGGAAAGGGCTGGAAGCCAAGGTCAGGAGGGGCTCTGGATAAAGGAAGTAAAGAAAAGGAAGCAGAGGTCAGAGCACGGGCATGCTTCGGGGGACCAGAGGTCAAGAGGCTGGGACTTTGGGATGCTTGTGACAAATCTCAGCAATTCGTCCAGAATTCATAAAGCAAACCTGCCACTCTGCTGTCCCCAGGACCTTTCCTACAGAGGGCTGGGGTGGGGTGGCTAAGAGAAACCGAACCCCAAAACAGGGCAGTCACCAGCCAGGGTCACAGTGAGCACTGTGGGAACATGGGAAGGCTGAAAAGCAGGGCTCCCAGGGGCTCCGTGCTCCCAGACCTAGTTACCAGAAAAACTCAGCCAGGGTTTCCACAGTAAACAGGTTCCTTCCCCTCCACCCTGACTCACAGTGGTGGCCATTTGCACGCATGCTGACTTCCCGATTTCATCCCCTGAGAGGTAAAGAAAGGGTCCTGCCAGCCCGCAGCTTGGGCTGCCCATTTCCAGGATGGGCTCCACTCCTGGGCATCTTGAGGCCCAGCCAGGATGACATATGTGCCAGCTCCTTGCCCCCAGGCCTGCCAGCATGAGCCTACCCCATTCTCTCCCTGAGTGGGTGGGTGGGAGACCAACTGCTATTTTTGTACCAGGCGTCCCTCAGATGCCATTGTTAGCCCAGTGGTTGGTGTCGGGAAAGGGGGATTTCGGTGAAGAGGCCCTGAGTACTAGTAACCACTTATAGAAGGCCGTTTCCAGCAATTCTTCTGGGAGTGGAGCCTTGGGTCTGCCTGTAGCCCTCACCCTCCCAGGGCCGGCCCAGAGGAGGCCCTGGGTCTGCCTGAGCCGACTCAGACAGTACACACAGGAAGAGTGGCAGGGTAAAGAGTTCAGAGCCAGATAAACCTGACTTCAAACGTGGGCTCTGTGGCTCTGGACAGACACTCTTCCTCTTTGGGCCTCAGTTTCCTGGTCTGGAGGATGAGCTAGACAATGTACCCGCTCACGTACTTGTAAGGATGCAGCGTGACTGGGCCTCAAAGCAGGCTGTGTGGTACCCAGCTCAATGGACTCACCCCCTACCCCTGGATGCATCAGTAGATTCTATTACCCCAGATGGGATTCTCCATTTTTATTTTAAGAGTTAGGGCCTTACCCTGAACTCAAGTGATTCTCCTGCCTCAGTTACCCGAGGAACTGGGAAACAGGAATGTGATACTATGCTTGGCCCAAATTGCCTCGAACTTAATATTGAGTACTGGGGTTATAGGTATGTGCTATCATGCCTGCCTCCTGAAAGAAATATTTTCAACGTGTGTGTGTGTGTGTGTGTGTGTGTGTGTGTGTGTGTGTGTGTGCCAGAAGAAGGAGTCAGATCCCCTGGAGCCGGAGTCGTGTGTGGCTGTGAGCCACCTAACATGGATGCTGGGAACCAAACTGGCATCCTCTATAAGAGCAGGAGGAGGTGCTCTTGATGGCTGAGCCATCTTTCCAGTCCTATTCTGTTTTTTTTGTTTTTTTTTTTTTGTTTTGTTTTTTTTGAGACAGGGTCTCTCTCTATGTAGTCTTGACTGGCCAGGCTGGCCTTGAACTCAAAGATCCACCTGCCTCTGCCTCTCCCGTACTGGGACTAAACCTTGCCCAGCTTTTTGTTTTGATTTGAGACAGGGTGTCACTGTGTAGCTCTGGCTGGCCTCAAATTCAGGGACATCTGCCTGCTTCTGCCTCCCAAGAGCTGGGACTGAAGGCGTGTGCCACCACATCGGGTCTGAGATTTTTTTCTGTTGTTGTTTTTCTAGACAGGGTCTCTCTGTGTAGCTCTGGCTGTCCTGAAACTCACTCTGTAGACCAGACTGGCTTTGAACTCAGAGATCCACCTGCCTTCTGCCTCCTGAGTGCTGGGATCAAAGGCGTGGGCCACCACTCCCAGCTCTGAAAATATTTTTAAAGAAATTGTGTTTGAGCTAGGTACAGTGGCCACACGCCTGTAATCCTGGCACTTGGAGGGCACAAGAACCACCCCAAGACAGCACAGGCTAATGGGCTGGATGAAAAACAAGAACTAGCTATATGCTGTCTCAAGAAGCATACTTAACCAGCAAAGATGCCCAAAGTTTCACATCGAAGCCCAGAAAATAAACAGCCAAGCAGACGGAAGCCAGTCCTGACACCTGACGAAGAACACCTCCGACCAAGACAGCTAGAAGAGGTAAGAAAGGACACTACAGTTTTGTTAGTGGTGGTTTTGTTTTTGTTCATGTCAAGACAGGCTCTCACCCTGTAGCTCTGGCTGTCCCTAACCTGCTCATCATCTGCAAGGCCCAGGACAAGGACACAAAGGCAGCTCAGTCCCAGGGCCCTGCTCTGATAGAAGAGCAGGGGTGCTCATGTGTCCAGATGCAGGAAGCCCCACCCAGAAGCCCCAACTCTGTCTTGTACCCGCCCAGAGTCGACTCTGCTATTCTTCAGGTACAGAAGAACTCACATCAGGCCAGCAAGGTCCTTTTTTGGAGGCTATAACGAGAGTCACTCCCCTGCAGCCTACAGAACAGGCTCAGAGACGATTGAGCAGGAGGCTCGGGGGTCCTGGGTACACTGGGCACGATCTGCAGTTCAAGAGAGGGACTCCAGGTACATTGTTCAGCGCTGCAGGTTTCCCACGGTGGAGCAGGGTTGCACTGGACAGGGGTGACAGCGAGGCTGCTCATTGGGCCACCCTGCCTTCCATAGCCCCTCACATCTCCCATGACAGTCTGAGGAAGACTGCTGGAAGTTCCTGCTGGCTGGCTTTCTGCCTCAGCAGCTTGTCTGCTCCCTCTGCCTAGGCATGAGTCAGAGCCTGGCTGGCTCCAATCTTTAGGAAGGGGCTGCCTGAGTTTGCCCAGGAGGGGAGCGAGTCAGCAGCCAACCACTCTTGGCTGTCCAGGTCTGGGACAGCAGAGCAGCGCAGTCAGCCTGCTGGGAATCGCTGAGACACCAGGCCTGTTCCTGCCTTGAAGGTCAGGATGTGACCTTAGGTCCCTCCCGGAATCCAGGCTCCGGCCTGTCCTTTGGGGACCCAGTGAGATAACCCCTGCTCAGCCCCAGGTTTGTCTACAGACTTCCTCCACACACACACACACACACACACACACACACACACACACACACACACACACACGCAGACACAGAGAGAGCCACACCAGACAGACAGACAGACAGAGACAGAGACACACACCCCAACTGCCACTTCCCTGGGGTTCTTGGCTGCAATTACTCATCTCCAGCCCACGCACAGGAAACATGAGGGTTCTGAGGCCGTGTGGGGATGGCCGGGAAAGCCATCTCTCTGTGCCAGGGACTGACAAAGGAGGCCAAAGGTCAGCAGAGGCAGTACCGCCCCCCAGGCCTGTCAGCTCAGGCCTGTGGCCTTTAGGCCTTTGCATGTGCCCTGTTCTCTGTCTCATGTGCTCGGCTCTGCTTTCTAGCTGGACATAGTTCTGTCTTTCCTTTTTCTGTCTTTCTTTCTTACTTTTTTTTTTTGAGACAATGTCTTCGTGTAGCTCAGGCTGGCCTCAAACTCTCTCTATAGGCTAGGATGACCTTAAAAACAATTATTTTTAATTATGTGTATGTGTCTGTATGTGGGTGCCTGTGGAGGCCAGGAGAGGGTGTTGGATCCTCTGGAGCTGCAGTTAGAGGCAGTTGTGAGCTGCCTGATGTGGGTGCTGGGAACAGAACTTGGGTTTTCTGAAAGAGGAGCAAGTGCTCTGAACAGCTGAGCCTGCACCTGTCCTGCCTTTGAACTTCTCACCCTCCTGCATCGGCCTCTGGAGTGCGGTACTCCTGCCCTTGTTTGTGAGACGCTGGGGATCAAAGCCTCACACATGACAAGCAAGCACTATAACAACTGAGCTCCAGGTCTAGCCCCCAAATCCCTTTCTTTCCACAATCAGTGGCCATCTTCCTGTCACCACAGCCTCTCATCCTCCCCACAACACTTCTAATTCCATCATCAATTACAGGAATCCTCGGCCTGTGAGTGGCTCAGTTTTGTTTTCTGTCTGTATCATTGACCACAGGCTGGGCACATAGCAAGCGCCTGGGCAGAGCTGGTGGCGAGGGACTGTTGTGTGGCCCTTGTTCTTAGAAACTAAGTCCCAGGCAAGTCCCAGGCGTCTCGGTGCGCACAGCACCAAGACGGAACGGCTCTGCGGGCTCGGCCTCTTCTTCTCCAGAGGGTTCAAACTCATGTGAGGTTCAAAAAAACGATTGGAAGATATTGGAAACTGGGTCACACCCAGGTATTTACAGGTGAGAAATGGAGCCCAGAAAAAAGTAATAATAGCCGGGCGGTAGTGGCCCACGCCTTTAATCCCAGCACTCGGGAGGCAGAGCCAGGCGGATTTCTGTGAGTTCGAGGCCAGCCTGGGCTACCAAGTGAGTTCCAGGAAAGGAGCAAAGCTACACAGAGAAACCCTGTCTCGAAAAACCAAAAAAAAAACAAAAACAAAAAAAACTACACAGAGAAACACTGTCTGGGAGAGAGAGAGAGAGAGAGAGAGAGAGAGAGAGAGAGAGAGAGAGAGAGAGAGAAGTAATAATACCAACAACAAAACTTACAGCTGCCAGCTCTGGAGCTTTCACTCTGGGCAGGTTCTGTGCTCTGCCTGCACTACCCACTGGAGTCTCAGTAACCTGCGAGGTAGGAATGATTATCATCGTCTCCGTGTTTCCCGTGGGAAGAAAAGGGTTCGGACAGGTTGCCAACAAAGCGATGCCGCCATGAAGTTAGCCAAAGTCCAAGTGAGGAGTGACTGGTTCCAGAATCTGTTCTTTCTTCTCTGCTTGTTTTCTGAGCAAACTCTCACTATGTTGCCCAGGATGACCTGAAACTTGAAGTTTTTCAAGCCATCCTCCTGCCTCAGCTTCCTGAATAATTGGGATTTCCGTCACGTGCTACAATGTGAGACTAGAAGCTGTGTTCCTAAGCTCTGTATCATGGTCACACTTGAATGCATTCACAACACGAACACGCATTCATTTATGGAACATATTAATTATTCGGAATAGGCCAAGCCCAGGACTAGATACTACAGTTTCATTCTTGGGCAAGCCTCTGAACCCAAGGAAAATACGAGGGGAGCATCTTCTGCATCCCCTGCACTGTTGGAGGTGCAGGCTGATGACAGATGCAGGGCTGGACCCTGGCTCTCTCCACCATCCATTAAATGCATATCCTTCAGAGTTCTAGTGCTGGAAGCCTGGCCTCTGGGTCAGAAGTCACATGATCTACGGACCGAGTTCTCTGGAAGGGGCAGAGGGCTACAGGGAGACTCTGTTGCCACAAACTCTAGAATCCTTGGACTGTGTCATGAGTTACTGTGGCACCCCACCACAACCTTAAAAACCCTTCAATAGATGTCATCGCTCATAGATAAAAACCAAGCTCCTTGTTCCTAGGTGGACTGCAAGGTCCTGCCAGTCACATTCAGAATCTGAGCAGGCAGCTCTTCCCCTGCTGTGCCCACTGCCTACCCCACTTGGGGAGGTCCTGGCTAGTCTGTGTTGCCACTTCCTCCAGGAAGCCCTCCCTGCCTAAGCCTTTAGCAGCTGAGGTACCCTGCCCTGTGGCCTGCGCCTCCTGAGTCCTGGCTTGAGCATGTGTGTGTCCCAGAGATCTGGCTATTTGGCTGGGGCCTTCCTCTGCCTGGCCCTGCTGTCAGGGGACCCCAATCACTCAGAAGAGGTGCAAGGGTCAAACCTCAGAACAAACAAAACGAACCTGCAGGAAGCTCCTTATTTTTCTATATCATTACCAAACTTGAAAAACAATTACAATGCTTATGGAAGCGTCATAAAATGTACGTGGCGCTATCTGTGCCTTGGGGTTATCAAAGCCCACAGTCCTTGTGGCAGGCAGGGCCCCCCGATATTGGTGGTCTGGGCACCTTCTTATCACTGCACAAACGCTAGTCAACTCAACAGTTTTAGGGGAGGCTGGTCACAAATTTACCCCATGCTCCTAATTCATTCTCGCGGCCTCAGTCCACATCAGCTGGGTGTGGGCTGCATCCCGGACAGGCCGATGACACCCGTAGCTGCTTCTGAGGTCCCTAGGACTC